CACAGAGGTTAGGGTCACACGCCAACAGATAAAGAAAAATCAACACGGTGACAACATATACTTAGCACCTTAATTCTGTCCCCCTCCTGCAACCTCTGGAGGTGTCCCACAAATAAGCCTAGAGCACTCAAACAGCAGCTAGGAGCCACCCTTAAGTCTGAATCCAGCTCCTTCAGTCCACAGTCCCTGGCTGACCAAGCCAATGAGATCTCCAGCTCCACTGTGTACTTCTCTGTGTAGGCATGACTAGGTACCACGTACATACTGCTCTGTCTTCCCATTACTGGGGGCTTCTGGGATTTGTAGTCCAAATTAAGTCAGCAGAACTTTGCAGACTTTCTCCTAGTTTCTCCTACTGTACACACATTACTTTCATATTACAAAATATTATTTTTGATAAATCTAACAATGGGCTTTCCAAATACAAAAACTTCTATGTATAAGTTCAGATCAGGATTAATAGGTTTTACTGAGAGTACATCACTTTGAAGATAAATACAATTCTGTTTAAAGCCATTAGTCAATTTACTTCATGGTTTGCCTTGCTGGAAATAAGGAAAGTCAAGTTTACATGGACAAATATGTTCTGGCTATTTTTGGAATCATTTAGATACACAGCAAATTTTAGAATACTAAAAGTCAGATCCTGTGGTTTGAGAGTTAAAAGAACTTAGAAGTTATCAAGGTCAAGTCTGAAGTTAAAATGATACTTTCAAGCTTGTGAAAATTGCTTGCAAAATGACATAATTTAAAATATTAATGATAGTCAATACTGGCCTGATCTGCTGAGATTTGAAACATCTGGGTGTGCTCAGCCTCCTGTTGATTGCAGTCACAGATTTTCAGAAGGCTACAGAATCATATCAAATGAGATCACTTCTCAGTACTTTAACTCTGGCTGACATCAGGATTTTGCCAATTGGAAATAGAGAAATTTTCTCACTGATTTTGTGAAATGATAAAGAAATCCTCCTTGATATTTTCTGAATGAACCTACTCTAGTGTAGAACTGAACTGGCCCAAAAAGCTATAGACTTCCTTGAAAAGCTGACACTGTAGATCTATCCAGCAGGCCATAGCTCAAATCCAGAAAATGAAGACAGCAGGTACGTATGTATTCAGGAATGAAGAATAGTTTTTTGATAAAAAATAGACACCTGCCTGATAATGAAGGATTAGCTTTGAAGATGTCCAGGAGTGTCAGTTTCTGGTAGTTTTTTATATTAGAAGCAATACATAACTATTCTTAATATACTGCACTCAAAAGATTATATATACCTCATACAGCCTCCCTCATGCACCATGCTCACCCAGCTCTCCTATTATGGCAACAAAACTTGTTTCACATTAGAGCATCTGAAGTATTTGAAAATGGCATTGTTAGGAGAGGAAACTTCTGCTTCATTTTACTATTATCAACTGTGCCAGGCTGACCAATGATGAAGTTAAAAGTCCCTTGGATGCTCAAGTACTTTTTTTTAACCTCATGTGTTACGTTCCCAACTTTCTTCATTTTGAAGCAGTTAGACTTTCCCTCAAAAATTAGTGCACAGCGTGTCATACTGATAAGATGATGAAAGTGTCTGACTAGGACTGAAAGTGGAAATTGTGCAGGAATTAAATAACATATCATATTACTAGATTATAAAATTATAAATATAGGTGCAGAAAATGGTTTAGATGAAGTATAGGCCTAGATCCTATGCTAAGATGTCAGCACTTTATTTCAAAATCGCCACACAAAATCAGAATAGCCACACAAAAGATGATCCCACCAGTATAGCTGGCAGCTCCTATGCAAACCTGCCTCCCATGCTGTTCACCTAGTGGACATGATAGAGCATTTCCAGATGTCATGTTAGTCAGGGAATGAAAGTGGTGTGGCTTGGAACAGTTGCTTTAAATCATGCTGGTGACCCAGGTGAGCAGTGTTCTGCACTCACACCCACCTCAGACACATCTGAGGCCTGGGTCTTTTTTTAAAAAACATGAGTTTTCGAGTTGATAAATAGGGAGTCTGCTGAATACTTTGATTGTTGACTTGCTAGGGAAAATAGTATTATTTTTCAGATATTTGACTTTACATCTCCACAGTTCCTAGCTAAAAACAAGATGGAAAGTTGCCTCTGAATATTCCATCTGCATAATGCATAATGCTTTCCTTTGATGGAATACACTATGTATTCAACAAAAGTTAAAGAGGTTAGCTCTAGAAAAATGAAGAAAATCCCAATATGGAAATGTCTACTCTGATAACAATCTGCAGGAATTACTGTTAGATCATGGTGACACTGAGAGAAAACTAAAAAGAATTGAAATATAGCTCTGAAAATTTAAAGTGATGTAATACCTAATATAAAAATACACTGAGGTTATCAGTAGTGTTTCTTGTATTCATAGGAATTGGTGGAGTGGTATTCTTTGCAAAGACTTTTAGGAAACTCACTCTTATAATAGTAACTATCTTCTCTGTTTTCCATTTTATTTTTTAGACCCAGCTCATAACACTTGTGCAGACCCTGGTACTCCACATTTTGGAATACAAAACAGTTCCAGGGGATATGAGGTAATGACCATTTTATTTATGAATTTACCAAATTAGAGTGTGTTTGAATACAAGGGTTAGCACTGTCAGATCTTTATTTTCCGCAAAAAATCAAAGGGTTTGTTTTAAGTTATTTTTAGTATTAAGCTAATTGGTTTGCAGACAGGGCCACATTATGGTGGTTACATTACTCCATTTAGGGTCTAACACATTCCTGAAATGTGCTATTCCTGTTAGCACAGGAGCAGGCACAGTATGCCACAGCACTAAGGGATGTAGATTTGCCTCAAATGGCTTCATGTAATTAGTAAATCACATTACATTCCATATAGAAATAAAGAAACTAAAGTTATTGTACATGGTGATAAAATGTCTCTTTGATGTGTGTCCTTATAATCTCTTCATTGTACCTGAGTTATTAGCATATTAAGTGTCAATCTTGAAAATGACTAAAAAAGTGACAGAAGTACATAAAAACATAATGGGTCAATGAAGTTCTTTGTTCAGAAAGATTAGCATTTATTAAGTAAATTCCATCAGGTATTATTTGCAAGTGTGCAACTGAAGTTTACAATAGCCTCTCCTTAACAGAGTCCTCTGACTAGTACTATGTACCTATGAAACTCCCGGACTTGCCAGTTCTCTATCAATCTGCCATCCTTGAGTGGTTTTAGCTTGTGACTTACCCTAACAAGCCTGCAACTTCAGCTTTACTCTTTCTGTATAGGTTCATCTTATTGCACTTTTTCTATCTTATGCATCTAATCACATCAGCAGTAAATTTTAGTTTTTGGATCATAGATACTCCAACACACTCTCTACCATTCCTAGTACCCTTTATAGAGTTAGTTTTCCAGAGGTATGTGCTTTCATTCCTAGTTATAGTAAAGTAATAGTAATTGAGTCTTGAAATATAAATGCATTCACCAAGTGAGACGGCTTTTAGGTCATCTGGTTTTAATGAGTTACCAACTGCTGCAGACTAATTTTTAGCAAGGCATGTGTGAGTACTCTCATTAGAGAAAAATGTTTTGAAGGAGAAGAGTTCTCCATGATGTTTCTCTCCTGCCTACCAGTACCATAATTCATCTTACCTGCATTCATTTTCTTCACTACCCTGACTTTCATAGATGGTTCCCTCTTTCAGACCATATTTTGATGAGCTAGATGAAGAATGTATTCCCTCATTTTATTTTATAGTATGGAGAAAGAAACCAAACTCAGTTACTGGTGAGAACCAAGATACCTCATTTTTCCTTTTCCTTTTCCTTTTTTTTCCGGGACCAAATGATCTTCTGAGGTCTCTTCCAGCCTTAAAATCTATAAATGAATATATGAATCTATATATATTTAGATTTAATCCCTCCAGCTCTTTCCTTTCGCCTTCAGCAAAGTATCACCAACTCTCCTCAGCCAACAAAACCAATCCATAACTGGACAGCTGTTCACCCTCAATTGTTTTACCTTGATGCCTTGCCATGAACTTTTTTTTCAGTACCATTAATTCCATCTGTACAAAAACTTTCCCAGCAATCTCTTTCTACCACTTCCATTATGGAAAAAAAAATTCGGTTGTCAGTTGCAAAGTCATACCCAGTTTCCATACTTTATTTTCCTCAACAGGATTCTAAAGAAAATGATTTCTTTCTTCTCTTTATGCCAGTTTCTTAGAGAACAGCCTTCTTCACTTTCAGACTAGCATTTTACCTTTCATAATAGAGGTTATATCCCACCTGATCAAAATGCAGCTTTCAGTAGTAGCTATCAGTACTTTGGTAGTTGAACACCTCCAGCAGAACTCAAGTAGTAAATGATCACAAATCCAGTGCAAACAATGCATTGAAATTAAATTAATCAAATTAATTTTCTATGGATTTAATTTTAGGGGAATGCACAGGCCAGGGCATCTTTTTTAACTGGTTATAAAATATACATTGAGAACCATATGTAAAACATACTTATAATCATATATTATAATAGAGATAGTCTGGTGAATGAGAAATATAGCTGCATTTCAGTTCTTTATCACACTTTTGGTTTGCTTCTGTCACACATTGGCAGGCTGAAAGGCTGAGAGGTATAGTGTGTCATCTTTTTTTTTTTTTTATTTCATGTTTTCCCATCTTTTTCCCACTTCTCAGTTCCAGATAACTTCAATTTCGCTGTTATGAAAGAGACCAGTTACTAAACCTTTTATTCCATAGGGAAAAATTCTAACACTGTAAAGGCAAACTGATGACACATAGAAAATATTTTCCTAAAATCAAGCAAGTAGCGTATAACTGTGTTGTCAAATTGATGGCAAAGGCTGATTTCCTGTTTTCTGTCATCTTTTCTACTTTTGATTCTCTAGGTTGGGAGCACAGTCTTTTTTAGATGTAGAAAAGGCTATCATATTCAGGGCTCCACAACTCGTTCTTGCCTTGCAAACTTAACTTGGAGTGGCATACAGTCAGAATGCATTCGTAAGTAGTTTCTTTCTATACATTTTTGGTCACACATCATTTTTGACAGAGTAATAAATTAATACTTTTTAAATCCCACAATAGCTAATATGGACTACTCATGATGGAAAAAAAACAGTGCTTATCAACAGGTACAATGTATAGTTTGCCACAGTTATTTCCTATTTAAAATTGTTGGGTGTTAAAACAGTCCACAGTACTGCTAAAGATTAATTAATTTCAAAGTGTTATTAAGTAAGTTTAGGTCAATTCATCAATGCCTTAATTGCAGAGAAAGTGTGTTTCAGCAGGATAAAAGACTGTCTTCCTCATTACTAGTTCCATTGTTTAGCTTGGTTATGCAGGTGATGCACAGTTGTGGTCCTTCTCTGCATTTCTCTCTCTGCAATTAATCATTAGGATTTTCTGAATATTTACGTGCCTACAATACATAAGATACACGCATAAAAGCTGAATCTAACTGACATAATGTTAGTGTCCATCTATTTTTTTATTGCAATGATTCATATAATGTCTGATTGGCACCTATCATGAAAGAATCAGGCATAGTGAGTATATCAAAATGACAGGCTAAACCATTTTTTTTTTTTATCAATCCAAAATGCCCCCATCTAGTTGGACTACTACCCTATTTCTTCCTAATTTATCTTATTTGTTGTCGTACCTTCTGACGTGTATTCAGGAATGCCTGGACTTTATATAACCCATATTAATTAGTTACTCTTTCATTTTCCTTCAGTGTGTCCAATATTGTTTCAGTATTCCAAATGTTTTGTGCAGTAGGCATTGGCAAATGATACCTTTTAATGGTGCTCACAATAATTATATTAATGCTTTTGGGAAAAATTCTGTTCTCACCAGTTCAAAGTCATTATCGTAGTTTCTTGCATACCACACCCCCACAAATAAAATGCACATCTTGTTTTTAAAAGGCAGAATGTAGAAAAGAGATGTCTTCCAGAGTCATGGCCTAACATGGCTTTTTTCATGAAGACACCATGAACATCACTTCATAATGTCTTCCAGATTCTCTCTCCCTGTCAGCAAGCATGAGGGGCACAGTTCAGGCATAGCCACTCTCAAAGTAGCAGTAATTCAAACAAACAATGCTTCTAGTTTGAGAGCAGCTGTGAAAGGGTTAACATTGGGTTGTTCTCCTGCTTACTGGCAGGGAAACAAAAGCTGGTAGGCATTCTGAAGCACAGTGTCTTCATGCTTCTATTCCTGTTTGCTTCTATTCTGGAGAAAAAAATCAGCTTCCACACTTAAGACATGCACCTCCTTTTCATAAGGCTGATTTGGGGAAAAAGGTGTGTATGGAATGCTAGTACATTAATGTAGAAATTAAGGTTGAAATTAATGTAGTTTTTTCATTTCCACTGATAAACTGAGATCAGAATATGGCCTCTGGTATGCAAAAGAATGTTTTGTTGGGTAAAATGTTATGAACTATAAAATAAGACTAACAGTTTTCTGGGCTTTGGTTAGGGAGATATTTGATTACTATTGGGATTTGCATGATGGTTGAAAAAATACACTCATCTAACACAAAAACCATTAAACCATTAGAATGACCTTAGATTCTTACCCTGTTTCAATTAACTTTGTGATGTTACAAATGAACAAAGTAGTTCAGAAAAATAGAAGAATTGAGAGCAATATGTCTTATATACAGTGTACTATGATAAAAAATCTTTCTATGGAAACTTAGTTTCATTTTAAGTTTACAAGGAATTTATTTAGCAGAATAGCCCGTCTGTAATCTTCAAGGTTTTCTGAGATATTGAGTACAGGGGATACTTGAAGCTCTGACAGTACAATAATTCACAATACTCATTACTGCATAATTTGCAATGACACGCACCTTGGTTTCTCTTCATTTTAACTCTTTACCTTCATAAAGTGTCCATCCTTCGAAACTTTCAGAAGTAGGTTAGACATATACTTGGCTGGGATGATTTAGTCTGGAATGATCCTCCCTTGAGCAACTAGATGACTTTGTGAGGTTCCTTCCAGCCCTATTATTGCTATGATAATTACATTTCAGTATATTGTGCAGAAATAGTTTATACGAGGACATCATCAGTTCCAACTTTCCACTACAGTGCAGCCAGTCTTAGTGCTATTTCTGCTGAAAACATGAAAATTACTTGTCACTTAAACAGTAGCAAGTTTGTCTAATGAAAGGCAGTGAGTTAACACGTGCTTGTTCTAAATTCTGTACATAGATCCTGCAGCTTTTTCTAACTGTAAAAAAAAACACTTTCAGCTCACGCTTGCAGACAACCAGAAACACCTGCGCATGTGGATGTGAAAGCAATAGATCTTCCTACATTAGGATACACTTTGGTATACACCTGTCAGCCAGGATTTTTTCTTGCTGGTGGATCAGAACATCGGACATGTAAACCAGATATGAAATGGACAGGAAAATCACCTATTTGTAAAAGTAAGTCATTGATCAAATGATTCACTGCATTGTACTTAATTGCATTACATTGTTTTCTTAGCATAATTCTGTTGATTTTATTGTGTATATTTGATTGAATTTTCTTATTGAACATTAACATTTAAAATGTCTAAAATGACATGTAATCAAAATAGCTTCATAGAAACAAAGAAAGCCAAACTTTTTTCAGCACCAGCCTAAACTCAATGAGGAAAAACATTAAATATACAGTTAATAAAGAGAAACTAAGTAACACAAAATATCAGTTATCACTATGTATTTTTTGGTATTAAAGGCCAACTAAACAACAGAATATAACTCTTTACTGGGCCCTTTTATTTCCTTTTGTGTTTCAGTCTTTGCATATGTCTTCAGTGTTTAATATACATGTGTAGCCATTTTTAGTTAAAAAAAGAAATTATAAAGTTATTTCATAGCAGACTGGCTTTTAGAGTCATTGAGGCATGTTGAATAAATTACATCATTTTATTTTATCCATGAAGGAGATGCTTCTTTTAAAATCATGTCAAACAACCCAACACAAAGAAACTGAAACTAAGCCATTGGGCCAAATTCTACTTTGATTACACCAGCATCAATGCCATATAATACCAATAGCGTAATTCTGGATATTGAATTCTTAGAGCAGAATTTGGCCTTTTTATTTAAATGTGTGTGGTTTTATGTCTCTGGGTCTTTCTGGATGTTGATGTTTGTAATAAAAAGATTATGAGATCTTGACTAACTACCTGCATATGACATTTAGGCAATGGTAGAAAAAAATTGAAAACAGTATTAATGTACAGACAACTGGTGGGTTTACTCCAAGGTTTTGCCATGCTGTTCTTTTTCAACACTGCTACAATAAACTGTGGTCTAGGCATAAAGCTCTTTGTCCACTCCTTGAATAACAATATTTCACTGCTCTGGTATATTACTACTCTTGATGGAGAGTAACTTGAGATACCTTTCAAATGAAGCTCAAGCTGTTTTCTCTTCTCTTGTATATTGTTTTCTGGCCTTAAAAATCATCTACAAGAGAAGAGAACAGTTTTCTACTAGTGCTAATATTTGCATGAAATTCAGAAATAGCCATAGATAAAATCAATCCCCTGAGAAAACAAGGAATACAAGAGTAACACTATGCAAGTATCAATAATTTCTTTGACGTAAACATAAGTGGTTCATAGGCCTTTATGTACTCTATGTACAGGGACCATTTCACTTTAATTTCCTGTGAGAAAAAAGCATGCGACAGAACAATTCCTGATTCTGGGATTTTTAAGGTGTCCAAAAATATGTGATCCAGACCTTTGCTAGTGCAAATTGAAATAGATCCAGTGATTTAAATGGATCTGTGCTAATTTAAGTATGTTTGGGTTCTGGCCCATTGCACCTAAACAGTTTCTTTTTTTGGTTTGTTCTGTAAACCTATTGTTATTTACCAGTAGTAATTTTTACATTTAACATGATAAGAAAGTATGGAAGGGACCTCAGCAGGTCATCTAGTTCATGGCAGGAGCATCCCTGATTAAACTATCCCAGTCAAGTGCCTGTCTAACCTGCTGCTGAAAATGTCCAGGGATAGAGTTTCTACAGCTTCTCTAGGTAGCTTGTTCCAATTCTAAACCACCTTCAGTTTTTACACATTACAAAAAATGGTAATTATTATGCCTACGTATATAAATAATTTTCCCTCACTATAAGGCTCTCTTTTATAGCTCTAAGGCTGATACAAAGCCAATAAATGTTAGGCCTAAACACATTAAACTTCTGAGTAGACAACTAACTTGCCAGGCTAAAAATGGTAGTACTGAAAAATTTTTATCCTGATGAATGTGTGAAAATATATGGGTTGGAATCTGCAGTGCGTTCTAGACTTTAGATGCCTCTATAAGAAAATTAGGCCTACTGGCAAAGGGATAATTGCTTCAATCAAGCATTATGTTGTAGCATTCTATAAAAAATAATTATGTACATGCAAATGATAATTTGTCTTTTTACTTGTAGGTAAAGGAGTGAGAGAAGTTAATGAAACAATAACTAAAACTCCAGGTTTGTATACCAGCACAGTTTTAGATCTAAATAAATTAAATTGACTTGTACCCTACTATATTATGGGTAACAAAATTCTAATATTTAGCTTAATTATTCCATTACTGACCACAAAGAAAGATAAATATCCTGAATATTCATAAAAACAAGTGGCATGTAAATCCTGCTTTTGGAAATTCTTTCTGGATTAGCTTCATTCTTACATAGTAATTTCTTATATAACACCACCTCAAGGAAGTTGTACAAAGATGCTGTTAAACTTAAAGGGTAATGGGGTTTAATGTAGACAGGAAGCAAGGTTGAGGTCACTTTGGTATCAGAGAGGGTGCTGTATCAGAGAGCCTTATACCGAGGTAGAATTTCAATCAAAAAATCTATCTAGCTTTCAGGTTATGAATGTTCTTTCAATTCACAAAAAATTACTTTTTAGAACTGTTGTTGCTCTCCATTCCATTAAATTGGATGGATTTTGAACTGAATTTTACTTGTGTTTTATTATATGCTTCCATCAGAAGTATAAAATATGAAATTACAGAGGAAGTTTGAAAGAAAAAATGTATCCTGTAAGTCTTTTTCAGTCAAGCATTTTCAGTGCCTCCTTTAAGGCAGCAGTTCCCAGACTGGGGGTCATGGCCCGAAGTAAGGTTACAGCAGTTATGAGGAGGGCCATGAACATAACAGACATTCAGAAGTTGGGCTCTGAATGAGACACAAATGCAAAGACTTTAAGGACCTGTGATATAAGGCCTGATTTTTTTAAAGAGCTGTCTTTCTCTGTAAGCAGAATTTTTTCTTTAATAAAATAGCTATATTCTGTATAATCCTTATCCAACCACTTGGAAAGAAGGAATAAGTAATTAGACCCCTATAGCAGTCCACATGAGGGCTGACCAGAATTAAAGGGGACTGCAGGAACTTCTACCAATCATTGATCTCACTGCTGAGACTTCTAACTAGAGTGTCGACTAAGATCATAAATGAGGTCATTCTACATGTATCAACTTTACACTATAATCACAATAGTGTACGGTAGACTATGCATTCATGCTAATTAACTCACAACCTTTGTTTGACGGAGGCCCTTGGCTTCACCTCACTGCACACTAAAGGTATGCATTAATCAGCTACCACATGGTCTCTTGTGTTTCATCGCCTAATTAAAATACAGCTCAAGTTCTCTTACCACATTCACCACACAGTGCGTAAATATCTTTTATACCCTACATGAAATGTCTTTTCTTTTACAGTCATTATAGAAAAATAGCATTTAAAAATGAAATGAAATGATCATGATTTTGCATGTCCTTAATGATTATTGTTTCATACTTTGTAACAATGAATAGTGAGCCACTAAAATGGAACAAGAGAAAAGTTTTAAGATTTTAAAATCGTTGTGTACCCTTAATTACATTGATTTAGGTCTCTAAATATGTTTAGGTCCCTAAATATGTTTGGGGGTGTTGTCTCTACCTCAAAATGTATTTACTTAGCTTTGGATATAGTTCTGCTTTCAACCATGTGGATTTTAAGTTGGAGGTAACAAATATTAAACTTATGTTAAACTAATATAAAACTTAATTTGATTAGGTTGGCACACTAATAACCCGACTTCAAACAATGGTGGTCATTTGCATGAAATGGGTTGGCTTATCCCACTTAAATGTATACATGCGATAATAATTATGCTTTTTATACAAATGGTGTCAAACTCATCATGTGTCATGAGCTGGAGGAGTGGTGCAGGGCTGGTCTGGCATAGCAGCTATATGTAGCATGCACCCCAGACTAGCACTGTGTGCTACACAGTGTGTGCTGGCCCCATCCCATACGCAGCATATACTGGCCTTGGCCCGATGTACTCTACACAGCAAACATGCCAGATTCAGCCTCACATGTCAGGTACAGGGAGCACCACTGCATTAAGAATGTGTACCAGACTGGCTCCACACTTTACATTTAACATGCACCAATCCCAGCCCCAACTTTGCATGCTGTGTGTACTGCACATACCAGATCTAGCCCAATGTGTTGCATGCAGTGCCCCATATGGCATACACAGTGCTTGCTTGGCCTGCATGCCACATGCAACATGTGGGGACAGTCCGGTGCATGCTGCATGTGGCAGGCAGGTCCAGACTGAGACCCATAGGCTACACTGCAGGCCGGATAAAAAGGCTCTGTGGGCTGTATCCAACATGCCTGCTTTATATAGTGCTTTAAATCTTTCTAGTGCCTTATAAGCTCTAATGAATTAATACTGACAGCATCTCTGTAAGATTGGTTTAAGAGAAACAGCACTGGTCTCAATTCTCATCCATAGTTCTTTGGATTTATCCTCCTTTGGGGAATTCTGGGATGGTACAAAGCTCATACAGGTAATTCAACTATAAGCTTCTTTCCCTTACCATCCTTACACAGTGGTTGAAAAGCCAGAGAACGTATTGGGGTTGGAGAAAATCTGGCCAAAGTGCTTGTTTGTTGGATGGTTCAGGGGCCCCTGTAAGATTGCTGGAGCTCCATCTTGGCCTTTGGCCAGCACAGAATTCAGGGGAGGAGAAACCTGTCTTATAGCCACCTTTCCCCCTTGCTGTGCTCAGCTGCGACAAGCATAAATTCAATGCAACTGAAAATTGAACCCACTATGTCATTTCGCATAGAGTGACATATTGTAATTGACAGTCTGTGCTCAAGACTGGAATTGCAAGGATGTTGAAAGTGACGATTGAGGCATGTTGTCAGCTCTTTGATGGGAATCTTGCACAGTACCTATCAGCATTGTAACAGGTTCATCCTAGTACTATTAGTCCTTCACTTTCTTGGGCAATAAATTCACTCACACATTTGTAATAGAAAAAAGCAAAGATACTTTTAAATACATTTTTAAAGTGTCATAGTTTCTATCCGCTGTAAGTCACAGTTTTAACAAATCTATGGAGAAAGGTGAAAAAGTATTAAAAGATTCACATATTAATTTATGTTGGAACAGGAAGAATGAAAAGAAATATAAAAGGAAGAGATCAAAGTCTTTTGATCCTGTTTGCTTTCTGTCATTAATTTAGAATAATTGAGATCATTTTGCCCAATACAAAAATGAGTGAACAGCTGTAGCAAAAAAATATGGTCTCAGCAGAAAACAAGAAGCCTAAAGTTCCAGTCTTAGTTTGACAGATCTGTATCTCTAAAAGCTTATCTCGACATGGCTTGCCTCTTAGAACACACAATCATTTCCCTCTAAGCATGTGTACCCCACTTTCAAGCAGTGGGAACAGCTGTGGGCACTTGGAGTCTGCCTGATCACACCTCTCAGAACCAAGTGAGAGGTGCTGGGAGATTGAGTGGTAGCTATGGAGTGACGTATAGCCAAGCTAATAAAAATTATGTGAGGATTCATTTCTGTCAGGATACATTCATTAGTGTGTGTCTTAAAGTTAGGTTTAAGATTTCCAAATTTATACACTGCAGCAAATTTATACATTACTCCATTATATGATATAATATAAAGTGTTAAAAAAACAGTAGAAAAGACAAATTAGATTATAATGTTTTCTTTGGTTTCTAATCTTGCAACAAGAGCTGTATGGGCATGCGTTCGTGATTTTTACAGAGCCTTAAGGGAGTCAGTTGATGCTTCTCAAAAGATTATATGCCCACGTTTCTGGATCTTATTGCAGGTTTGAAACCTATGATGTCCAGTTTATTTCCCTCAACATGCAGAGCTCCTTCAGCAAATATTCAGTGTCAAATAAAATAAGAAATTAATTCTCAGTTACTTCAAGAGTCAGAGGAGAATGAGATACCCTCCTGTTCCACTGGCAACAGCTTAGTTGTCAAACATCATCTGTTATTGTCCTGTTGAATGTGAAGTTTATATAATCTCTCAATCTGCCATTTGCTCATACTCTGAAACTAGGATACTATCCAGTACTTTTTAAATAGGTTTTATAAATTCTTCATTCTTCGTAACATCCTTTTGGAAGCTTTAAAATGAAGTAACAAAGTGTGTCTCATTTCACGTCTCTAAGCTTGCAGGGTGCTACAAAGATTAGAAGGAGATGTGCCTCCTTTTTTTATACTGACTGGTGCTTGGCTTAATGCTCATGTTTCAGAGGGGTTTTCTCTCAAGCTTCTGGGAGAGAAGGGACATCCGGAGGACCAGGTTTGAAATTCTGCTACAGAATTTGCTTCCCCTTTATTTCACCAAGCAAGCCCTAATCTTTTGTAAAACTTGTGTGAACAAAAATATTTTTTCTCAGTGCTTGAAGAAGTATAATGAGGCAGATAAGGATTATTGTGACTGCTATTGTAGGATTATTGTGAATACTTATATTGTGGCAGCCAAGTATATTACATGAAGCTGTTTAGGACGGTTCCAAATATACATTGTTTTATGTATGTGTATGTGTGTGTAAACACACACACATGCACATTGGTTTTGTTATCTATATCTTTATAGTAAAAGTCACCAGAATAGTGGAAGTACCTTTTAATATACATTCAAGAAATAAACCCAGATGGAAAAATTATTTGACCTTATTTTAGGTTTGTGGTAATTTACTGCTTTGGTCATTGCTTCTATTGTTTTTTCTCTTCACTTTTGTTTAGTTCCATCAGATGTGTTTTTTATAAATTCATTGTGGAAAGGGTTTTATGAATATCTGGGGAAAAGACAACCTGCTACTTTAATGGTAGATTGGTTCAATACAACAAGTAGCAAAGTGAATGCAACATTTATTGAAGCATCCAACATCCAACTAAAACTATCAGGTGAGTTCTGAATTAGGTAATTGAAATGCCTATTGGCTTGTTTGCTTGTTGAAATTATTTGGATTTATTGCATTTTCTAAATGCCCAAGTTAGAATCACACCAGTAATGTCCTGTAACTGATGAGATGAATCATACATGTACTATATCAAATAAAATAAAAACTCTGACTTCATGTTATCAGTAAAAATTCATCTTTATCTTTTGAAAGAGTAGAGGTGCTAAACCCAATGTGCTGCCTATATTTCAGTTTGCTCAGTAAAATGTTCCCTACCTAAATAATAAAAGTGGTAGGTTTTTTTTTACTACTTTTTTCACAAAATATTGTGACATTGCTGTGTGCTGTGTGCCCTGAAAACAATTCTCATGTGTTATACATGTTAATGGCTGTATTTCACTGGTGGGCAGAGTGACCCATACCATTGGATAATACTTTAAGATTTATTAGGTTGAACCACACTATGATCTGTTCATTATTAATATTTATTTGTAAACGAGACTATTTTGAAACCACCTTTTATGAAGTGGGCACAGTTAATTACAAAACTTAATAAATTATGTACACCTTTTAAGCAACATTCTGCATACCTTTCTGCAACACTGATCTATGTTTTGATCTAGCAGTCTGACTACAATCATATTTCAAATGCCCGTTATCAGCTTCATGTATCTTTATGGGTCAAATGTACAGGGAGAGTTCCAGTTGTTATTTGCTAAACAGCAGATCATTTTCTCTGACACTATTTGTTTACTATAGTAATACAGTATGGTAGGTTAAAGCACATATCTCTGAAATTCAAACTGACATTGTTATTCCAGCAAGGCAGGAGTTCAATCTTCATTTCTGATTTCTGAACCTATGCATAGAGAAACAGGTACTCTAATTTATTTATATTTAAAGAGAACATACAAAAACAACTCTCTTTTTATTATCAATTTTTATATAGGTAAAAAACAAGTACAAAGAACAACTTGGAACAAAAATATTATGAGAAATAGAGAATATTTTCTGAAAGTTTATTTTATTGTTGGTATAGAACTTTATTTGGTTCATGAAAGTAATCAAATAACTTCTTTTAGGCTGCTTTCAGACATTAAAAAAACCCCCCAAACTGCACTTTACTGGAAGAAGCAGCCCATTACTTTGACCCAGCTCTGCAGCATCTGGATACACTGGCTGCTTCAGCAGGGCTTTTTGGTACTTTTAGCTAAAGCAGAGTCAAACAACAAGTAGATAAAAGTGCCAAAAAAAGTCCCACTAAAGCGCCTGATCTATACAGGCGCTAGACGAGCCGGGTCCAACTAGCATGCTGCCACGGGAGTGTGCAAAGCACCATTTTGGGGGGGGGGTTAAGTCTGCAAAAGTCTGCAAGCAGCCATAAATGTTAGCTATGTTAGATCCATGACAAAAAAAAAATTAAAGCCATACTTCACCTTCTTCTCTCAATAGGCATTTATAAGAAAGAAGAAGCTCATTTGCTTTTGAAAGTCTTTCAGATTAAAGGACCTGTGGAGATATTTGTAAGCAAATTTGAGAATGACAACTGGGCCCTAGATGGTTATGTAAGTAACCAATTTGCTATAAATATGTTTGTTTGGATTCAAGCAGGACATATTTTCTTGTGTGCTACTACTATCCTATCTTTTACCTTATGATAGTTTAATATTCTACTTAGATTTTTTTTGCTAAGAATATACATATATATGTATTTTATCCCCTCCCCCACACCTTACTGGAAAATAAGTAAATATACATATTTTCTGAAGTTTGTTGCTTGTTTCACTAGATATGGATGAGATGTTTTTCTTTATTTTCTTCTATTTTGAAAACACTTTTCTGGATAACTATACCAAAGCTTAAGTTGAAGATAGTGATTGTCTTTAAAATACAAGCTAGGAACCTTGGAAGTTATAAGGAGATAAGTTTTTAAACTCTAATATATATATGGGGACTATATATATATAGTCCCCTTATTAAGAAACGAATCCATTTTTACTCAAATTAATAAAAGCCCTGTAAAGATAAAAACGTAATTCCTAAACTGTATATCTGATTTAATTTGTTATACATTTTACTAATAAGTTATAATATGTACTATCATTTTCAAGTGGTTGCTACAGTGGGCACATTTACATTAGACATTTACTTTGCGGGTGACTAAGTAGCCACGCATTTCACTGCCTACACATGGACCTCTATTAGGCTGGAATAAACTAATTTACAAGTATCATCCTGCTGCGGAGTAAAAAAATACAAAATCTGCAGCATCTACATGTGTAGATGCTGTCCAGTTAGCTGGGGCACTAGAGTGTTTCATTCTGGAGGCTACCTGCTGGCTAGTTCTTCATTGAAGCTCCCTTGTGCCCCAGCCATCCCCTCCACAGCACATTGAACCAGGGCCAGCAGCCCCAGGCTGGCAGACTGACCCCCAGGACCTGCTGCTAGTTGTGGCTGCTCTGCCCATGCTCCATGTGCTATGCCTGAATAAACTGTGGATTTTATTGCTTCGGAGTTAAATGCTCCCAGGTGCATGTTCGGATGGCATACCTGGGAGCAATTAAGTCTCAAGCAATAAAATCCACAGTTTATTCAGGTGCCATATTGCATGTGTAGATGCCTCTAGTGGTGATATTTGAAAACTTGCTAGGTATAGTTTACATTAAAAATATATGTATTTAATTCCATGCAGAATTCCCTTTTCTTTCACAAAACTTTGTGTACTGTTAAAGTTTACTTTCACTTATGAAATCTTACGCCTTGTATAAATGAGCTAGTCTCTTAGGTCTCACACACCTATTACATCTATTACATAATTAACTGGTTAGCTGCAAAGTAAATGTACACATGCTATAGGTACAAGGTAATTTTCACACAATACAAATAGTCAATGAGCCACAAAGCTGTTGCTTGAAAAATGTAGAACATTTTTGTAGCTGCTTTGTTTCAAACTTTAAGTTGAACATGCAGCATGTCACACACAGGGTTATAGTGTTTGGCCAGGTCCTCCAGCATCCCAGAGTAGATTGCTTTCTTTCCCGCCTCTCCTGCCCCTGCCCCTATGACTAATGCTTAACTCCACTGCTCTAAGGCACAGTAGCAGGAGATGTCATGAATCCCTACTTTCTTTCTTCTTTGAACCATGTTGCCCTTTCTACTCTTCACCCCCTTCACCCTGGTCTCCACAGATTTCCACAAGAGTTAGAGGGCAGCCCCTTTATCCAGGGGAATTCCAGTTGACTTTCCCAGCACAGCTGGAGAGATGGATCACAACCCTGCCAGCAGTGCTCCTGTTCCCCTTTTTGGCAAGCACTGGTGAAGCAAGTTCTCAAGACACCTTTTCCCCCTCTAGATAGCTTTCCTTTTGAATAAACGTCAAATGGCATGCAAATTTTCATTGAGTGATATTGCCTCTTGCTTGATGGAAGTAACATCTTGCAGGGTCCTAGAGTGCTACCCTTCCCTGTCTCTCCCTGATTTCAGTCTAAGATGGCTAAATGCTTCTCGAAGTTTTCTATAGGATATAGTAATTATGAATCCTGAAAATATGTAGGCTATTTTTATTGAAATGAAATATTTTAAAAAAATGTATTT